AAAAATCCACCTCAAACCTGGAAGTACTATTAGTCTCGTAGCAAAGAAATAGAAGAAAACCTGCTCCTAGATAAAGTCTAATGGCCCTTAGCTTCTGGAGAGACCATCACCACATTGTCCACAAATAGACAACTTTATGGTATAATTTATGCTTTTCCCTAGGCTAGCTAAAAGCATTATGTTTCAAAAAGGCTTGTAGTTTATCAAAGGAGTTCATTGAATTGTGAATACTCATTCTTTCCTTTTTAAATGAAAGGAACTACCTTCTTGTATGGAATTTGGTTTTCATTGATTCTGTTTTAAGGAATAACTACCTAGTGAATCTCAGATTAGTGATTCCATCTTTGAAGAAGAAAATCAGGAGGTCATTAAAATAAGCTGTACACTGGATGTGGCATATATTTGTAATTATGACAAATATAAACTTTGTAATTTTGTTTATCAACAAAAGAAACCTTGGAGATATGTCATGTGAAGTGATAGTCGGGTTTTCTATTTTAACAAAATGTTGACCTGCTTTCTAAAAGGCAGATTAAATATTTCAGAGCATCTTCTATCAAATATGTAGCAAATATGACTTAATGACTGAAGGAGACCAGGGCAGTGTTGCTAGAGAAGGGTGTTCATGTCTCATGAACTACGCTTCTGGTTCTTAGGGAAGGGAAGTACAACCATGCAGCCTGCTTTGGTCTCCAGCCTGGATGCCTCCTCCCCGACGGGAGCCGCATGATGTCTGTGGCCGCCCTTGTGGTAAACTTCTCACAGCCACTAGCAGATCGTCCTTCTCTCCTGAGGCATGATGAGGTGAGGACTTACTTCCATGAATTTGGTCACGTCATGCATCAGATATGTGCACAGGTGAGTGATCTTTTTAGAAAAAAATTGCTTTTCCAGATTTTTTTCCCCACTGTGGTCTGGTTTCTCTTCTTAACATGCTTTTTCCAGAAGCCGAACATGTTCAAGAATTTCATAAGCCTTCTGCAAAAACACGAAATTTTTCTCGTGTCCTCTTTCACAGCATATTTTACTTGGAGGTTAATCCA